GGGGTACTTTATGGGAGGCCGTTTTTATATTATATGGAATATATCTGTTATTTATGTTTGAAGAAAAAAATTGTTCAAATAAAAGTTAGTTCTTATATTATTATCTATAATTTTTGTTCTGTCAAAATTTCCTGAAATGGTCCGTATTCGAGAAATTTGACAAAATGTGCAAAATTCTGATTTTTATGAAAATTGTTAAACTAAAAGTTGTTTGCGACATCGATCTCTATAATTTTTGTTTATACATGGTTTGTCTAAAATGGACCGTAATGGAAAAATTTAAATTTTTTAGTATTTTCGTTTTCAATAAATATCTATAGAAAAATGTTTTGAGGTAGATGTATGTGGAAAATGTATATATTTAGTTTATCCTCTAAACATTTATAGAGGTGCTGCAATAGGTTATACAAAATACCTGGAAAATGCCTATAATAACTAGATAGGAAAGTCATGTGTTGGACACATCAGATTTTTATTAAAACCGCTTGAGCCTGAACACTCCATGTATCATAATTGTCTTTTCCAAGTGGTTTGATACGATACGTTGAAATCGCCAGTTTTTCGTTTCTCCGTATTTTAATTAAGTCTTCGTTTGCAATAACCACCATTTGATGTTATTGAATGCAAAACGAATTTTACTTATTATACTCGTACAATATGACAATAAAAACACTTTATTTATCCATTTAAATTAGTAATTGAAAAGCTTAAATTTATGCCATCCTTTTTACAATGGTTTAAAACTTATCTGGAAAGTAGGTAATAGGTAGGGATTCTAAAAACCTACCAATAAGTAGTGTAGTACCTCAAGGTTCAGCAGTAGGTCCAATTATTTTTATTATTCATCAACGATATCACAGACTTAAGAATTAGTCGTAGAGTTACTTTATTTGCTGGTGACACGAGTGTAACTTGGAATAATTCTGACATGCAGACATTACAATCTGTCATAAGTAAATATCTAGTAAATATTACGTCCTAGTCTAATTCAAATGGGATTTGTCTCTGCATCAGTAAAACTGTAGTATTGTCTTACAGAGGTACTTTATAACCTTTAACTCTAAACAACAAACTGATTTTAACGATAAATTCAATTACGGTCTTAGGTCTTTATATAGACAATTTCCTAAAATGGTCTACTTATATAAACACTAGGGTGATTTTTTTTTCTACTGTTTTTTGTTTTTCGCTCCCGTCCTGAAATTTTGTTGAAAATGCCCAAAAAAAAATTTCCTGAAAGTTTGAGCCCCTTAATATTAATATTAAGTCCTCGACCAAGGCGTGCAAAGATTTTCCATTTAAAATACACGTAAAATTAGGGTTTTTTCTTCAGATTTCTATATCTTAGCGGCATTTCATGGTATTATTTCGACCATAGACATGTATTTTTTCAACGCTCTACAAAAGTGTCCATTGCGGCGTTGTCGTAACTCACATCGACGAGGTAGTACGGGTCACTAAATCGAATTATTTCATGAAATTCACGTTATTTCTACCCTATGTCATAATTGAGAAGAGTTATTGAAAAAATGTAAATGACATAGTTGTACGATATTGAATTTAATACAAAAAATGTCCTTAGAACCAAATCAGTAATATCAATATTTGTTGAGATTCGAGATATTAAGCCTTGAATTAATTTTACTGTAAAATTTTTGCCGATTATTGACTCAAACTTTTTGAAATCTTGTTTTTTTTTTTTTTTTTTTTTGTTTTATGATACATTTAAAATGTTAAAAGAGGTTAACGATACTGCAGAAAGGGGAGTAGCACTAGCGGAAAGTTATAATGAAGCACTGACTCTCATAACGAAGTTGAAAGACAAAAAATTTTTCAAACTGTTCAGCATCATCGCTCTCAATACACATTGTGTAAAAAATCACAATATATTAAAATTATTCAATGTAACTTTCAATAATAATTTATTGGTATTGTTGTTTCTATTTTCATAAATAATTTATTGTTGTTAATATGATTGAAACTATTATAATTTAATAAATGTTAATAATATATAAGTTATATAAAAGTAATTGCATTTGTTTGTTTTATGCAGGAACCAATAAATCCTTTATTTGTTAAAGATTTTTCAAATATGAGCTTTAACCATGTAAGATATTAATCATATACTAGTATTCCTTTAAAAAAATATATTGGACAAAAAGTGTGATAATACAAAAAAACATGATTTCAGCAAAAATTTTACAGTAAAATTAATGCAAGGATTAACATCTCGAATTTCGACAAATATTGATTTTAGCGATTTGGTTCTTAGGACGTTTTTTGTAGTAAATTAAATATCTTACAACTTTGTGATTTAAATTTTTTCTGTAACTCTTCTTAATTATGACATAGGGTCAAAATAACGAGAATTTCATGAAAAAATTCGATTTAGTGACCCGTACTACCTCGCCGATGTGAGTTACGACATCGCCGCAATAGACACTAGAGCGTTCAATTTGGAGAAATACATGTCTATGGTCGAAACAATATCATAAAATACCGCTAAGCTATAGAAATCTAAAGAAAAAAACCTTAATTTTACGTGTATTTTAAATGGAAAATATTTGCACGCCTTGTCGAGGACTTAATATTAATATTAAGGGCTCAAACTTTCAGGTAATTTTTTTGAAGCATTTTTAACAAAATTTCAGAACTGGAGCCAAAAAAAAAAAATAGTCGAAAAAAAATCACCCTAAATAAATATCTTAACAAAAAAATTATTCTCTGCATGTTTTGCCATTAAATCAATTTCTAACGAGCTGACCTCTTCTACTGCAATAATAACCAACCTTTCCTTATTCGAATCTCACCTTCGCTACCGTTTATCTTCCTTGGGTTCTTGTAGCTTGTACTTTTTCGAAACCATTTTGAAATTCTAAAAAATAGCCAATCGCTATGTATTTGGTTTAAATAGTGAAAATTACTCTAAAAATATAAAAACTCTAACTATTCCTACTCTATTTATTTTTGAGTCCGTCTGCTTAGTTTGCAGGCACATTCAAAATTTATCGGATCGACCAACTCGTAGATATCTTACAATGCCAAAAAAGAGTATAATAGCCTATAAATAGCCTATAAATAAATATGATAAGTTCCGAAGGCTTTACTTCTAGAAAGACCACATTACACACTAGCAGAATTGTATAACGTGCCACATACTTTTGGGTTTCACATGCAGAGGCAATAATCACAAATTTGGTGGTTGCAGATTTTTTTGTTTTTTGTTTTTTTTTTATTTTTGTTTCGAAAAATTATTGTTGATTATTTTTTTAAATACTTTTTAATTATTATAATAATAACCTGGTTTTACATTTTTTGTTGAAATTATTTTGTGGTCGTAGGAAAAATATTGTACATGTGCATGTGTGAAAAGTAATTTTCGACACTCGTATGCTAGTCGCACTCGGCTTGTGCGTCGTGCGATAATATTTCCCACTTGTGTGAAAAATATCACTTTCCACACTCGTAATTACACTATTTATTACTTGCAAATCGTTATATTTAACCTGGACAACGTCGGTATTTTTCCGTATTGCGCGGACAACATCCTTTTTTAACCATTATGATTATTTTTAAATGTCTTATTATTCCAACTTCGTTTGTTTTATTCCCTTACACTTTAGAATGTGTTTGGAACTTGATATCACAACATAACAAGTTAATTACTTAAAAATTCCTAGAAAATGAACAACGTTGTATTTTTCTCCTTACGCTTTATTTTCTCTAAAAAGTTTGATCAATACATAAAATGTTTCTAAAATGGTTCGTATTCGAGAAATTTGATAAAAAGTGCAAAATTTGAATTCTTTAAGAAAATTGTTTCAATAAAAGTTGTTTGTTATGTAATTTTCTACACCACGAATGATCTCCAGGTCCTCTAGTAGGTCCTTCCTGCCCTGCTAAGCTGCAACGTCCTATCTGATCTGTGTAACTATTTGTTAAAAGGAACGAAATTTTGGCAAAAGTTAACTCAAAGCAATATAAGTCAACACATATACTTTGCAAATCGCATAGTTGCCCAAAACTTTGACTTTTGTTAGTAAGGATGTTTGTTCTTAGGAATCTGAAAAAAGGTAAATACATAGGACAATAATAAAAAAAAATTATAAGGGAATTAATTTTGTGGTATTCAAAAAATAATTGGGTTCCAGCTGGAGTCGTACCCGGGACTTTCGAATTTCCGGTCCAACGCGCTAACCACTACGCCACAGGACACGCGAAACATCATCAGTCTTTTTTAACTATGACAGATAAGACTTGTTTTGTAATTTTATTTGATATCTTTGAGTTTAACTGAATTGAAATGTCCTATTTGCGTATTTTGGACAAATTTAATTAGAAAATGGAGATTGTACAAACATTCCTAATAATTATGTTGTTTTTGGTAAATAGGATGTAAGAAACAAGTGCTTTATCTTATGATTAGGACGTTTTTGCTAAGGAAAACAGTTGTACATGTATATCTGCATTACAAATAAGCATTTAACTCAAAAACTGAAATTTTGTCAGATAGGACATTTAAGCTTAGCAAGGTAGCGTTATTCTAAGATTGTAGATTGGAACACTATATAAAGTTCTGCTTTTAGAAATAGGAGAAAAAGTATGGTTATTAAATTTATTGTGATGACCGAAATTTTATTTTTCAGACCTAGAGTCTACATAGAGATCTAAGTAGGTTATTTGTGCAGATTACGGTTTCCTTATATTATGCATTTTAAGGCACATAGAAATTTGTTATATTTTTGGAAAGCCCTTTCTGTAGGAATATATGTTTATATTAAAGATACAGCAAGCTAAACTATTTAGATTCATTTAGTTTGTCGTTGTCTAGTTGTCAGCATCATAGGTATCAGCCAATTTATATTAAACCTAAAATTTTACTTGGGATACTGGTATTGATGAATACTCTTTACATCTATAAACAAATAAATTACTAATAGGTACATGTTTTTTAATTACTTTATTTATTAAAAAATACATTCAAAATAATCAATAAAAGCTTAATTTTCAGGTTGTGGAACATCATCGTTATAAACTTTAGGTCCAAATTTATAATAAACAGGTCGCCTAGGTTGAGGTTGAACGTAATAACGTTCTCCAGTAGGAGGAGCGTGAAACTGTTCCACTCTGTTGAGATAATTTAACTCTCTGTTGGGTTCAGCAGGACGTGAATTAAAACCGATTTTATGGTTAGTTGTGTCGAAGTTCAGTTCATAGCTTTTTCCATTTTGGATTGCCATGTATCGTCTGATTTCCACTTCAGTCAAGTATCGTCTTACATAATAGGAATCACTACCTACATATTGTTTAACTAAAACATAATATCTACCATCTTCATCTTTGTATATTTCTTTAGAGTGGATTCCTTGATTGTGCCCGTCCACGATATCTCCATGAATATTGGGGTTTTGACCAAGAATGTCTCCGTTAATACCAGCATGTGCCCCAGAACTATTTTCGCCGACCCCATAAGCTGCTTCTGCATTAACTTTTTGCCCAAGGACGTTAGCTTCAACTTCTGCGTCTACATTGGCAATGCTAGGAATATGAGCAACCTTGGCGAGTTTATTGAGAGCAACCGTACCTAATATTATTGAAGGTATAATTAAGGTGGTTTGGACTAGTGCTAAACTGACCAACAAGGAAAATACCTAAAAAAGAAGTGTTTTTTTACAAAAAAGAAAATTCTATATCAGTTACTACATTATTATTTTATTAAACAATGGGGCATGTTCAAAAATTTTGAAATTTTTTTTATGAATAATAGAGTTGAAAATAAAATTAAATTTTTTTAATTTTTTTTTATCTATTCATTTGCCGGAGTTATGAATTTTTTTAAAATTTATGACGTCACCGGGAATAGACCAATAGGAGCTAGCGCACAACGTTGCCGGCTAGAAGGTTTACGAGAAGTGATGTACGTTCGTTTGTGTACTCCTTCTTACTTTTAGACTTCTAAAACATCGTTAAACAAATATCTTTTAAATATATAATATCAAATGTTTTTTTAAAGTATTATTTCTGTTTAAACTTTTACCATATTTAAAGTTTCATTGTTTTAAAAGTCACTTAATAATTCAGAAAATGGCAAAATGGCAGCACTGTGTATGGCATCTGTCATCATAGTGTCTCCATCAAGAATTTATTTGGAATTTGATTGTTTAATTTTGTACTTTTTATAAATATTATGACTACGAAAAAGTGTTTTGTTCCAGAATGTGATAATGATTCACATTCATCTTCAAAAATATTTATTAGTGTTCCTAGAAATTTGGAAAGAAGAAAATCAACCTTCTACTAGCGATGTTTCTCGTGAACTTTTTAATAAAAATACACCGGATTATCAAGATGTAGCAGCAATTTCTGCTAATTGTCCCCTTCAGGAAATTGAAAATAAGGCTACTATAAATTCTTAGGTGTATAACCTAAAAACCCTTCTGGAAGAAAATGCAGAATCTCCTGAAAGTTTTGAAGATACCGAATTTATTCATCATTTTGTGGAAGAACTAGTGATAAAGAAATAATGGAAAAATGTGGGTATTTAAACAAACTGGTTCCTGGATCCCATATAATGGCAGATAGGGGTTTCAGAATAATCAGCTACTTGAAAACATGGGATACACTTTAGTAAAGCCACACCTAGTGTATCACAGAATGAAAAAACTTCTCCAGAAGATGTACAATTAAGTAAAAGAATAGCATCTCTAAGAATACATGTGGAAAGAGTTATAAGAAGGGTTATTTAATTTAACATGTTAAAACCACATTCGTGTGTGAATTTTAAGCAAGTACATTTACTTAGTAATATCTGCATAATTGCTTGTTAACTTACAAGAACCTATTTTGTAAGAGTAAATATTAATTTAATAAACTTATTTGTTTGTTTTTTAATTTAATTTACCTAATTATCACATTTCAGGGATTATAATGAGTTTTTAAACAGCCAATGTAATTTTTGATAAAAATTTAACTTTTCGAGCAAATCGAAGAGGAATGAGTACCTGTATATGCATAGATTTTTTTGGGACTAAAACTACCAAAACAAAGGCACCTATTTACAGCAGTTTAAAATGAAACATTTTAACAAAAACGCCTATGTCACAGTGATAAATATTAAAAACCAAGTTCAGTTGAATGTGGTAGCAAAGTCTATATATTCCAATAAATCGGGTAACTACATGTGGTATCACTGGTGATAAATTTAAAAATATCACAATTCTTGCCACCTTTTTCAAAAAACCAGAAAGTGTGCCTTCTTATGAAAATGACAACAGTGATAAATGTAAAAAAAAAATTTCATGTTGCTATTCGTTATTACGATAGTAAAACATGTTTGCAGTTCCGTTTATTTTTTATGAAAATCTAAGTAAAAACAACCAATGTCAAAGGGTTTTAATTTTTTTTCTGTCAAACCAAATATATCACAAAATTAAAAATTGATCATAGGTCAAGCTAAAGTAATACCTTTATTAATAGTAGCTTTAAAAAAGGAGAAAGAATAATATTGACTTAAGTTATTATTATTAACATTGGTGATTTTTAATAAAAACTTCAATTATTGTTTACAAACAAAAATATAAAAATCTGTGAAAATTTTATTTATTAACCTTTTAATAAAAAATGAGAAAAATAAAGTAAAAAAACAATTTATTTACAAATAAAAAATATATACAAATCCTAAGAATATAAAAGTACTGATTTATTTTCCTGTAGTGGATGAAGAGGTTTCTTTAACAATCTAGCCAAGTGTACATCATTATCAATAACCCTGAGTAGATGTTACAGATGGTTCCTCACTTCTTCTATGAAGCCACATGTTTACAACCTCCTGAAAAAAATAAAAGGGTTAGATATGCAGTTACAAAATAACTATATAACCAGCTACAAAATGCCTTATTTTATGTAACAAGACGAGCACTTTACTAGCTCTGAACGAATCCAGTAAAGAACCTCTGATTTTCAAAACTTAAAAAAAACAAGCTCACCACATTTTCACATTTTTGAAATATTATAGAGCTTTTCGAAAAAAACTGCTATTTTTAAAAGTACCATTTTTGTTTAAACAGCTATGTCTCATTTTAGGCTATTGAGTATTATAAAATAAAAAATTACGGGATGCTTTGTTAGCTTTAAACGAATCCAGCAGAGCACCCCAGTTTTTTTTTAAACCACACCACATTTTTTGTCTCCTACAATATTATAAAATATTCGAAATTTGACATTTTTAAAAAAAATTCGCAATTCCTTGCTGACTTCAAAGTTTGTTTTCTGAAAACAAATATACTTACCACATTTTTAGGATTTTAAAACAGCCTAAACATTTGTCATAAGTAGTTGTTTTTATATATTAAAAAAATGAAGTGTCCTGCTGACTTTGTTCCAACAAAGCACCCTGTATTATTTAAAAATAGCAATTTTTTTAGTAAAGTTTTACAATATTTCAAGAGTCTAAAATGGGGTGTGGTTTTTAGAAAAAAGCTTTAAAAAACCGAATTGCTCTGCTGGCTTCTTTCGAAGGTTAGCAAGCACCATGTATTTTTTAAAAATATAATATTTCAAGTGCATAAATATATGGTGTTGCTGTTTTTACAGAAAAAACTTTATAAAACAGAGGTGCTTTGCTGACTTCGTTCGAAGCTATCAGAGCATTTTAAGTTTTGCATAAAACGAGGAGCATAAAATTTTTGAAAAGGGTATAAAAATAGCCTAAAAATATGGCATGTTTTAACTCAAAATTTCATAGGTGCTCTGCAGCATTCTTTGGTATCATAATTATTACTAGGTTCACTAACAAAATCTATTTCTAGATTATTTTAACACTTGCTGCGATTACAAAAAATGTCTCTTTATGTCAAAATTAGAAAAAAAATATTTATAAGAATAAAGGGCCTTATACACTGTTTATTATATGTGATATAAAAACAAAAAAGCATAATAAATATTACAAACTTTGAGATTCAACATATCCTAAGCATTGTGCACTAAAAAACAGCCACATCATAAGGTTTTTGCTGTACTTTATGTTTAGGTGTAATTTGTCTCCTTCTCTCTTATGGAAAAAGTAAATATCTCCATATTCTTGCTTGGCAGATCTAAAAATAAAACCTGAGATAAATATGTTTTACTATAAAGTGTACTGCTTCATATAAACTGTAACTACCTACCATTAAAACAATTTATAAATAAAGTTTTACCTTTCTATCTTTTGGAAACTGAGTATTGTTAAAAAATGCAGTAATCATCTCGGTAATCATATTTTCGTTTACAATGGGAAAAATACTTGATTCAACTTTTATAAATACAGCTGATAAATTCATATTCTTCTTCCTTTATATATCCTATATCCCACAGGATAATTTACCCAGATAAATTCAGATTAATAATAAAATTAAACCAAAACAAAAAACTAAGGTTAGTTGTTAGGTGCTGTCAATTTTTAAATGTCACTTAGATGTGCGTTCACTTCGATATTCTGTATGTAGGTTTGTTCGTTGGCTTGGTTTTGTAAAACAAAAAAAACTTCGACACAAGCTGATTGGTCTATTCCCGATGACGTATAATTTCAAATTTAAAATTTCAATTGGGCTTAATTTAAAAACTTTTAGCTTTTTTAACGAACTGATTATTTAGAATAACTTGTATAGCGACTAACTATTACAATATAGTTTATAAAACAGCATATCTCACATGTGAACATGGCCCATTTTAGTTGATGTTTCGGTCACTATGAACCATTTCGTGGGCATACAAGCAAAAGGCATTAGGTCAAAAAATAGGTTTATGAGTTATAAGCATGTTTTCGGAATATAATGCACTGTTTTTACATGATATACAAGTAAAACCTATTTTCCTTTGCAATAATTTTTGGCAAATATAGAAAGTGTTTATCAATTGAGTGCCGTTACTTAAGGGCGTGAATCGCTGGGTGATTATAGGAAGAGAATTTAATATCATCATATGTCGTAAACCCCATAATTTTTGAGCTAGAGGGTGTTAAAGTTATAATAATAATAATAATAACAATAATAATGCTTATTGTTTATTTGAACATAAAATTACATGAACAAGGAGACTGAAATGGAAATAAGTAGTTTTACATAATATACAAAAAAGAGAAATTAATTTGTGATAAAGGATAATGGGTATGTGGAAAGCAAGGATACTTAACTTCTCTATTAGGATTGGCCAATCTCATCTAGTATGTACGTTTTACTGTGTTACGTCATTGCCGGAACAGATATTTATAAATTATTGTGTTTTTTATACGTTTGTCCATGGTTTTTAGCATTTGTTTGTATTGTTTTTTAACTTTTTAATTGAGTGGACTTTTTTAAAGTGTTTTTATAAGAGTATTTTGGCAAATCAACTTGTTTTATTACAGGTAAGTTCTACAGAGGCAAAAATAATTGTTTTTAACTAATTATGTTATTTTTTTAGGGTTTGAATGTGCTAGACAGACGGTGGTCATTAATTGTAACAACAGCCGTGTGTAACAAAATTAAATAACGCAGATATAATTTATCATGATTTTCCATTTGAGAAAGATTTTGTTTCACACGAAATAAAACAAGAGTGGATTCGGAGGTGTCGTAGAGCTGATAGATGGAATCCCACAACAAGCCAGATTTGTTCTGTCCATTTTATCAACAAT